CCCTATTACGGCTTCTGAAATTAACATGCCCCTTCCGGAAAAGGGGCCAGTGTAGACGTAGCCCTTGTGTTTGATAGAAAATAAAAGTGAACGTGTTAGGTGCAAGCGGTAGGACTGAAGTGGTAATAGCTGAGAACAGGCAGAGCCAAGTAGACTACAAACCCAAAATAATAGAAAATGCTTCGCTACTTCTACACCAAAACTTCAGTGCAAATTTATTTCAGTTTGTACAAACTCACCGTAAAACTGTTTCTTTCTGGGTCAAAGCAGGGCAGTCTCCTTTTCCTTGGGAGCTCCGGTTCCCTCTCTTGGGTGTGCCACACCAGCCAGCCAAAAGACCCTGATTCCTGCTTTCCTCTTGTTTTCCAAGATTCCCTACTTGCACGGGAGGTCACCAGGCCTGTTGGGGGTGGACATGTGATTTTCCCAGACCTAAAACATAAAGGTCAAAAGAGATTGTTTGACAGTTCGTCATCAAAGCACTGAGGGTTTCATTCACACATGTAAAACTACAATTTGATCTGAGGAAGTGGGTCTGGTCCACGAAAGCTCATCACCTAATAAACCATCTTGTTAGTCTTTAAAGTGCTGCACAGTCGTGTCTTTTGTTTCATTAAAACCACAAAGCATTCCACACTCTGTGGGTGCGTCTAGTCTGGCAAGATTTTGCGCAAATTTTGCACAAAAACTTGCTGCCTGTCTACACTGTCCGCTTGAATTTGCGCAAGAGCACTGACGTTCTACTTTAAGAAATCAGTGCTTCTTGCGCATATATTCTGATGCTCCCACTCAGGGATAAACCCACTTGCGCAAGAGGGCCAGTGTAGACAGGCACCTTAATTTCTTGCGCAAGAAAGCCCAATGGCTAAAATGGCCATCGGAGCTCTCTTGCGCAAAAGTGCGTCTATTCTGGGCACGGATGCTTTTGCGGAAAATATGTCTTTTGCGCAAATGCATCCGTGCCAGTCTAGACGCTCTTTTGCTCAAATACTTCTTCTGCGCAAATACTTTTAACGGAAAAACTTTTCCATTAAAAGTATTTGCGCTAAATCATGCCAGTCTAGACGCAGCCCATATGTCTAATTTTATACAGAAGAATGATAGATACAGCAAATAAGTTAAATAGACCCTGTGAATTAGGGCATGGTGACTGATAGGCTACATGAAGCAATTTGTCCCAAACATCTTTGAGTTATGCACATTTGTGCTCATACGTCCATTACATAAATCATGGGGGAGCACCGCAGAGAGAATGAAAAAAAAATCTTTGACAAGACAAGGGCCAGGAGAAACCCCCCAACTAGAACACACTTCAGGGATAAGTCCTGGACACCACTGATAGCAACTCCACTGAAATAGTGTCCAAAGCAAGGACAATCTTCAGATACCCATACAATGATATTGGATTGTAATACAATACAAATCTTGGACCAAATGAGACGTCTCTTAGGAGCTTATGATTTGATAGTCATGGTTGTATTATTTGTGTGTGTGCATATTTTTGTCCTTGACAATATGAACAATAGCTGTGTGACATTGTTTCAAATGTTAGTTCCTGGAGTAACACCCAGGCTATGTCTAGACTGCAGGCTTCTTTCGAAAGAGGCTCTTTCGAAAGCATCTTTCAAAAGAGCCTCTTTCGAAAGATCGCGTCTAGACTGCAGGCGGATCTTTCGAAAGAGCAATTCGCTTTTTCGAAAGAGAGCACCCAGCGAGTCTTGATGCTCTCTTTCGAGGAAGCCCTATTTACATTGAGGAACGCCTTCTTTCGAAAGAGGAACTTTCGAAAGAAGGCGTTCTTCCTCGTGAAACGAGGTTTACCGCCATCAAAAGAAAAGCCGCGTTCTTTCGAAATAATTTCGAAAGAACGCGGCTTGAGTCTGGACGCAGGGGAAGTTTTTTCGGGAAAAGGCTACTTTTCCCGAAAAAACCCCTGAGTCTGGACACAGCCCCAGAGAAGAGAGTAGAAGACAAGAGAAAAGAGAAAAGAGAGAGACAAGAAGAGATGAGAAGAAATGATAGCCAATGTGTTTGTCAATGCGCAATGGCGAATGGGAGGCAGCCAACTATGTGGACCCCTTTCCTGCAAGTGTGGGCCAATGTATGCACCTGCACAGAACTGAGCCATGTATGGACAAGTGACTTAGCTATGTGACTGCAAACTACATCTTGGGACAAACTTTCACACCGTGAGAACAGTGAGGTTCCTTCCACGTTCCCGAGGATGTATACTGAGCTGTGGAAATCCCTCCATTTTGTCTCTATCCTGCTTCTCACCTCTGGAGGATCTGCACTGAAGCTCTTAACAAAGGACTGTTCACCCATCCAAGCTGCTCCGGGAACAGGACTTAAGCCAGCAGTTTACTCCATCCCTGTTACAAGCCTGCACCAAGATCTTTGAAACTGATTAATACAATTGACTCCTTCAACAATTTAAAATCTTTCTTTTTTTCTTGTGGGCAACCCAAAGCATGGCTGAGTGGTGTAATGAGGACACTAGAACAAGTACAGTGATTGAGGTGCTGAACAGGGAATGAAGGACAAACCCGCAGATTAGGGCACTTTGTTATGGAACGCAGGGACCCTGAATAGGATTTTGGGTTCTGTAGCCAGATAGGAACGCCCCTGTAACATCCATCTTTGCTTGCCTGGAGCATACAGGGCACACAGAGCAGTAAGCCTTGAATAGAAGGCCCGAGCTGCTGCTGTGACCGTGAATGGCTGTAAACAGAGATATGTCAATTGTTGGCCAAGAGGCTGCCGAGGAGTGCCCTTGACAGAAACCCACTGTGAGCAGACAGGACACTGAGCTACATGGACTGTTGGCTGTTCTTATATTCTTAACAAAGTTAACACTATGTAGACAACTTGGATGTCTTCAAGTCACTGGAGCCTGATGAAATGCATCTGAGAACATTCAAGGAACTGACTGAGGAGATATCTAAGTCGCTAGGTATTATCGTTGAAAATCATGGCAGATGTTAGAGATTCCAGAAAACTGGAACAGGTCCTGTTGAAGTGCCCATCTATAAAAAGGGGATTAAAGACAACTCAGGGATTTGCAGACGAATTAGCTGAACTTCAGCACCAGGAAAGATAATGGAGGAAATATCTAAGGAATCCATTTGCAAACACTGAGAAATTACTAAGTGTAGAAGTTGCGGTCAGCACAGATTGATCAAGAGCGAATGTTGTCAAACCAGCCTAAAAGATTTTATTTGACAGGGTAACAAGTCTTGTGGGTGGGGAGAAATGGAAGACGTGTGATTCTATAGCTCACTGCCTCGGTAATTTCCACTCTGTTTCTTCTCATGAAGAGGCTTTTACCCATGAAAGATAAAACTGTTAGTTTCTACAAGTCAGGAAACAGCCACCCATCCTCTGCTACCTAACACCAGAGCCCTGACATGCCGGAGGGGGAGGGGCAGTCTCTGAGCATTCACACAGCCGGCTCCTCCGCTCTGTGCTCACATCTCACTCCAAGGGCTGGTCGCACCCCCGGGAGTTCAGGCTGCCTCATGCTCCAGGGCTGTTCTCTCTCAGGGTGACCTGAGCTAACTATGGGTTGGGGGCTCAGAATGGCACCTTGTACGGCTCATCCAGGAACACCTGTCACACCAAAGGGTCCCCGGTGTCCCTGACATGCAGCCACCTCAGGGTTGGAGGTGTCACCGGGGGTGGGCCGGGCTGCAGAGGAGAGAGGGGAGCTCCTCAGCACGAGTTTCTTACCTGGGAGTCCTGAGATGGACGCGTC